GCTCCATCATTTGTCAAATAAGGCAAGTAGTGAAGATAAACACTCAAGACTCAGGAATGAGAAGAGACCACAGGTGGCTTCTCTACCCACAAAGATTTGGCAATTTAGAAAATTGTTCATGGCAAATTAAATCCTAATGAAAGAGGGATTTTAAAAATATGGGTTCCAAAAGATATAATGCCTACTCAATAATTCAAAATTTTTTGAAGGTCAGTATACAGTCAAGACTAGAGATATTTCTGCTAAACATTTTATGGATAAAAATTTGTAAAAACTGCATGGCATTTTTTTCCTAAGACTTTATATCCCCAATAGTGGGAAGAGTTAGAATGGAATAGAATAATAACTTTATTTCACTTTAACATCATCTACAATGGAAGAATGGTTGGTAAAGCTGTTGCTGAAATATTGAAACTGAGGCTCTGATTAGAGAAAAGGCATTGACTAACTTTAATGCTAATTGGAATCTCCTTTTAGACTTTTTGCACAAACAGTAAAGATGAAATTATGATATAGAGGTTATGATATATGGGGACTATTAATGTTCATAGATTATAAACAATGGAACCATAAAGCAAGAGTTGAATTATTTTTTATTTGTATCTGCTTTAAAACAAGTCAGAAATTATTCTTTCTCTCTTTTTTTTGTATTTTTGCTTCTTCCTATATTTTTTATTCTATTCTCCTTCTTATTAGTTCTTATTATTTTAAAATGTAATAAAATTGTTATATTAAGAGTATAAGTGATGCAAATAACCTACATATAAAAGATATAAAATGAAAAGCTAAGTGGTAGCTTAAGTCACTGAAAAACTACTATCTGCTTCCACACACGGAAGAGAAACCATATCAACTGACTGTGAGAAAGTAGGAACTTAATGACCAAGCAGTTCTTGTTTAATTGATTACTCCTATTTTCTCTTGCCACTTAGACAGAGTGAAGTAAAAATCTTGTGTGGGCTTTTTGTTTTGTTTTTTAAATTCACACCCTGATCTTGTTTGGAGTCAAAAGGATCAGAGGACACTAAAAACGGTACAGGAACATCACTGACCTGCATGGTACTGATGCATAAACTTCTGTGGATCACAAACTGGCTGAGAGCAGCAGATCTTTTGTAGCTGTTTCTTCCGTGCACCATCAGTAATCGGCCCAGGTGCTTAAACTGAGTGATGGAGAAATCTGCTGCAAGAGAAGCTTGTTTTCCTTCCTAGGAATACCGTGAAACAAAAATATTAAGACCTTTCACTGTTAGAACAAAAACCAGAATTCTCCTGCCACAAGAGCAGGCACCATTCTTGTTGTATACAGTAGCTTGTTCTCCTTTTATCAGCCCATAAGATCGTTCCAATCAGGCATCTGACAGCAGTGAACATGGTATGTTTAGTAGAGTTTATTACTGCCATGCAATCCCATGCAGAACGTAGCCTTAGAAAATCTGAGGCGTTTGCAAAATCGTTTTCGGTTTTCTACTTCTATTTATTGACCACAATGGGGAGCAGAATTTCTGTTGCTAAGCAAGACAGTGGTTACGTGAGCTGTGCCCGGTTTTAGGACCTTTTTTTTGTCATGGTTCTTAAGTGAATCATTGTGGTTAAGTGAATCACTTAATGGGCATTAAGTGAAACCGGTTTGATATTATGACCCATGTGATATCATCGCAGCTCTCACTTGGATGTTAAGGATGTCACGACTATCTCAAGATCATTTCATAATTCTTTTGGATAAGAGGGAAAAATAATGCCCCAGACTCTTCAGTTAGGGAATAAAATCAGGCCAGAAAGGTGCAGGACGACAGTTTAATCAAAAGCATATGTCTTAAATTGGGGCCAAAAGCCTAAAAGCTTAACACCGGCCAAAACTGTGAGTGGGACCAAATCACATCTGTGGGCTCAGAATTATTTTTTTTTTTTTTTACTTTTCCACTGCGTCATGTCTATTTTAAGGATTATACTTACATTTTTATGGTTTTCTCATCTCAAAATGGGAATAAGCAACTATGGTCAAAGGAGGAGGGGTCTTTGATGAATAAAGAAACTATTTGTCCAGAGAGCTTCCGTAAATCAGATGATAATCTGATTGTGAAATTATCCATTGAACTAAAGTGCATTCCCCCCTCTCTCCTGAAACCCCTATCATTATGACTGTGGCATTCAAACGAAACATCATGCTTTGACTTACCTTCCCTTCAACACCAACACCACAGTCTGCCTCCTGAATCATACTGACATCATTTCCTCCATCACCTGTAACAGAAAATAACAAGGCAATTCAGGAAAATTTTGAGTGGCTTAGAATGTTAGCGATCAAAGTCCGATCCGTATTTTATTCCACAGTATGTTTCCATTTTAAAGGACTTATCAAGGTAAAAAGAAAACAGAAGCCATGGTAAGAAACATGGGGAATTATAAGTGGAACACTGTTCCTGAGTCAACAGTGTAAATGTATGTAAGACAGTTGTAAAATAAGACTCTGTTTGGAACTACTCCTGGTATTAAAACCAATACTTTCAGTCTAATTGGGCATAAAGTACATTGTGTTGCTGCAAAGCGACAGTTCCAACATGGGAATGCTTCCAGGATACTTTTGTACAACCTTAGAGGCAAGCCCAAGTGATGGGCATAGAATCAAGTTGAGTGTATGAACATACTGTACAAGTTTACCTGGATGCATCTGAATGAAACAGCTCATTACCACAAGCTAATGATTTTCAACTAGCAGGTGAAATTAAAACAACACCCTCAGAGAGACAAAGAAAAACTAAATTTCCCCCACGGGATGAGGTGGATACATCCTAAACACATCTGGCTTAAGTTCACAAGTTATCTGGAAGCCACACAGGGCAAATGGTGGAAGCACTGAATCATAAGAATATCCCATTTTTGCCGTTTTCTTTATGGTTGAAAGCCAGTTCCAGTTCCCCTTGCTAGCCAAGGCTGGATCTGCTTAGGTTTTACTTGGTCTGCTATAGCTAACCATAAAGAGACAAATCATTTTAGCTTTAGAGTTCCTAGCTGGCAATGACATCCTTTTGGATGGTTACAATAATGGATTCCAGAGCTTCATTATACATGCAACATAAAATGAAAAGAACAGCAGGCTGGATATTCTAATTGAATCACTAGCAGTTTAGCGATTCTTTGGACAATTATTCCAGGTCATTCAATATAGGTTTCACTGTCTGTTTTCACATTTAACTACGCTATGTTTTTTCTCAGGATCATGAGGTGTGAAGTAAGCAAGTGGAATAACTAAATAAAACAGCAGAACACTTTTCACAGTGCCTGTTTTCAAGAAAATCAGAGATAGTAAAACATGGCTGCTAAAATTCAAACCCACAGATTCTGGGGGAAGGAGCTAGAGCTGCAGTTTTTACTATTTGATAACCACTTAAGTCTGAACTACAATTTCCAAGTGAAAATCCCCTTAAGAAAACTTTTGTATGTATGTAATAAGGGACTGAATTTAAAATGTGATTTTCTTTCATTAAGAATAAATTTAGGAAGAACTGTAGCTTTTATCTTGACTGGAACCTATTTAAATTTAAATCTATGAGAACAAAAAGCACAATTAACAACAAGAGCCAACAATACTGCTGGATTTATGCCCCTCAAACACTCTGCTACCTAATATAGGATGACAAAGAGTTACTTCATCTCTCTGGGAACCAGAACTCTGGAGATTTAGCACAACGATAATGCCTTGTTGCAAAGAATGGCAAGTCTTCTTAATGCAAGTAGCACTCAAATTACACCCATTTGTTTAATAACTATTCAAAGTTGCAACGGCACTGAAAAAATGTGCTTTAAAACTGGTCCTCGCACTTACGACCATTGCAGCATCCTCACAGTCACATACTCAAAATTCAAGCACTTGGCAATTTGCAATGGTTGCAGAGTCCTGGAGCCATTTTGTGACTTTCCCAGCCTGCTTCCAAGAAACAAAGTCAATGGGGGAAACTGGATTCACTTAATGACCATGTGATTTCCTTAACTGCAGTGATTTGCTTAACAACTGTGGGAAAAACATCATAAAAATAAGGCACCACCCACTTAACAGCTGCCTTCTTTACCAATGGAAATTCTGGCCTCAACTATGGGGGTAAGTTGAGGGCTTCCTGTAAACTCAATTGATTAAGAGCCATCAAATCACTGTCAACTCTTAGCAACCACACAGATTTTCTCCATGATGATCTGTTCCAAGAACACCAAAATGCCTATTATTATGATGGCGCGGTTTAGTTGCTCTTCTGCAAGTGATCAGGAGATTAGACTCAATGATCCTTTCCATCTCTCTCTGTATTTTGTGCCAATTTATTACACGTGCTTATTACGAGTGCTGCTTCATAACTACATACATGGATTTGCTTTCCTTCAGGCAGTGATTCCTTTCATTTCATGGAGGGCTGCTTCAGAAACTCTCTAACCTTTTTTAAAAAAAACTCCAGAGAAATGGGGAACCCATAGGTGTGTGGTGTTTCCTCTGTTTTCATGCACTGACGAACCAATATACAAAAAAGATGGTAAACTAGAGAATCGAGTTAGAGAATCCCTACTATGAAAGATTGCGGGAAGGCTGGGAAAGTAAAGATAAGAAGAAACAACTGAAAGACTGAAGGAGAATCCATTGATAGCTTATCCTACAAATGGCAACTCAGCCCAGCCCTAGAAAGAAAGAGGCCCCTTAATGAGGTCATTGTAAATGAGAACTGGACATTCCTCTTGAAGAACATAATTAACAATAATATATAGATACCCCAAGAATAGCCTCAAAGATACTGAAGCATGTGTAATCTTTGCTTCCTTGTTGTCACCTGTGTGAGGATTAACACCTACCTACTGCACAGGTCAGCTTCCCAGTTCTCTCCTTGAGTAAGCGTACAATCTGAGCTTTTTGTGTTGGGGCACATCTACAGCAGATGACTGCCGGACATTGGCAAGCCAGTTCCATGAACTCATACTCATAGTATTTCAAGCACACCTATTCCATGAAAGAAGCAAAAGAGGTAAATAGGATGCAGAGATTCTTTCTTTTACCAACCCCTGTCCCTTGTAAGAGCTTGATGTTCCAGATCAGGGTTTCTCAACTTTGGCAACTTTAAGATAAAGTTAAGAATTCTGGGACAACTTTTTAAAGTTGTCAAGATTGAGACATACTTCACTAGAGGAATTTATGCCAAGGCCTTTCTGGCCAAAGCTGGCACTCCTCTCACCTCTCACCTCCAAGGAATCCCCAGAAATTAGTCCACCTCTCACCTCCAAGGAATCCCCAGAAATCACCAGGGCACAGTCGTGCTTGCGGCGGAAGGCATTTAGCTCCAAATGTGCTTCTCCACGGTTGGTTACCTGGACAGGAGAGAACAGGTAGCTTAATGTCAGTAGAGAATTCATCGTATGTCACATGGGTGTCAAATGTGCCAGATGGCAGGTATGGTGTCCTGATCCAAGCCCTGCCACTGTTGAACTTGCAGGACTTATTTATTTATTTAATACATATGTAGGCTGCCCCAATCTGTCATAATTCTGAATAGGTGAGAAAATAAGACAATAAAAATAAGAATATACTTAACCTCAAAATAAAAAAGGTTAAGGTTAGGAGACTCTAACAAGCCATTACAAGGAGCCATCATTCACTCTAAGTCATGGCCTTGGGAAGAGCCAGGTTTTAAAAATTTGTTAAGTGGAGCCACGAACATATATGTAAACCTTGGTGTGTGTGTGTGTGAGAGAGATGGTGTTTCAGAGAGCAGGCACCATGACAAAAAGGTGCTTGGTTCCCACCCCATAACCCATAGGATCTGGGGGATTCTAACCTAGATCAGAATGCATGAGACAGGTAGAAAATAGACTGCCACTCCGATAACCAAGACCTATTCCATGAAGGGCTTTATAAGTAATATCTAGGACCTTAAATTGCACCTATTGCAGCTTATGATGCAGAAGCATTACTTGAACGTATCACAGCATGCTCATAACTGCCCATGCACTACATTTCAAGTGATCTTCAAGGGTGCACTGAAGTTGTTCAAACATAAGGTGACCAAAGTATGATTGACTGTCTTAAGGACCTTCAACCTTGAGCACAACTGACATATTAAATTAATTTGTGCGGAAAGTCTCTCTCACCACAGCTGATATTCAAGCCAAAGCTGTGAATCCAAAAAGATCTCCAAATTATGCACTAATCCTGGAAGGGGTAGTGCAATCCCATTCAAGATCAGATATGGATGGAAGCATTCCAGATTTTTTTGGGGGGGGGAATTACCACAACCACCCAATCTTGTCAGGATTGAGCCTAAGCCTGTTCCATTCAGATTCACACAGCCTGCAGATACCAGGACAAGACTTTGAGAAGTGTGAGATGTATAACTGGGTATAATTAGTATATTGCTTGATACTGTATTCCAAACTGTATTCCATCCAGTGGCTTCATGTAGAAAGGGCAATTGCCCAAATTCCCTCCCAAGTTTCAGCACTGACTGAAGCCAACCACAGAGAAAGGAAGATACCCATCAGAGTACTCTGACCCCCATTCCTAATACCCGCAGGATACCAGGTTGATGATACTAAAACCTGCTGGAGATCAAGTAGAACCAGGGTGGCTGCACACAAATCCTGCATTTTGCTCGTTCTCAGCAAGGAATGAGTCACAGTAAAAAGGCTCACTGGGCAGCTATTTAAGGATATGATAAAGCTGGAGAAATAATTACATTTCACTGTTCTTATCACCAGAATGTAATCCCTAGGCTCTTATTCATTCTCAATTAGATTCATCCTTTGTCTTCTTCCAAAAGCACTTTAGGCATTTTTCTGGCATTTTGTTTCCTGAAGTTCCTCAGAAAACCAAGGCGTTCATTAGGATCATTGCACAGTGAAAGGCCACAGAGGAGCAATTTGATCCAAGGATTGTAGGCAGCAACAAGTGACTCAAGTGTTGCAAATTTTGAATGCCTACAAACTTCCATTAGTATGGATCTTATCCAGAAAATACAAGAATGAATAGTGGCTCAAAAAAGAAAGCACCGATCAGTTTGGGGGAAAAGGACATATAATGCTAGGAAGAGATTTGGGTTATGAATATTACACCACTCTCACCTAAACATTTTTCTGACATAATCAGTGCATTCTTACTTGCTAACAGAAGTATGAAGTATTCAGATCCAAAGAAGACAAGGACATTTCAAATTTGGCAGAAGTATCCGTGGTATACCTGCATCAAGCAGAGGTTATATATGCACAGCAGATCCAAAACAACCTTGCTTCTTGCTTGTTTGGGGTCTGTGTACACATATCTCTACAGCAAAAATCACCAGATCTGGTTTTTGAATGGAATAATCAGAATCAAGGGATGCTTCTACATAGCCCACTCTTTTTATTCTTAAAGCCATGATCACACTTTGTCAAGAGATTGCTCCATCCTGGGTCAACACCATGAACCTGTGGCAATTTTAAGAGAGGGTTTATTGAAAGAACTCTGGAAGACAAAGATCAGTAATTTCTAGTGCTCTTTAAGAAATTTAATATCACTGTATTAAAAAAGCTAAAGCTAGTAGCATGAGGAAGAACACATCATATGGTTCAGAAATGAAAGCAAAGACAGGCTTTGCATCCATAAAGATCTGCATCTCTAATGACTCAGTACAGTCCTTTTGCCTGAGACAATTTAGCTTAAATGAATGAAGACTTTATCATACTGCATCTCACATTTACTGCACAGCCGTGTTACCGAAATGCAGTGGCCTTTCTTGCTTTGCCCAATGAAGTCTTGGGCCCTGACATTTTGCAGAGAATTCCCAGAAAAGCATTTTCAGGGAGATGCAGAGTTCCTTTTACAGAACAGCAAGTATGAGCAATAATTTATTTTTGCAAGACAAAGCAGAAGAAAACAACATTCACACTGGTTTCGAATGAAGGGCGGGTTTGGAAAATAAGCCAAAGTGCCTTGCTGTAACATCTGGGGGGGGGGGAATCCATCAGAACGGGAATTAACCATTTTAACATTTTTCATTTCTTCATTAAATTCATTGCTGCCCTGCATTTTGCCTTGTTAAAGAACTTATTTCAGGAGCGATCCAAGCACCCTGATAAAATTTGAGTCTGCAAGAAACTGGAGGAAACAAGAGGTCTTTTTCCTTGTTGATGTTCCAGCTTCTAGAACCCATCATATGCAGTGATGTTTGGAGCAAGGTTAGGCTTATATCATATGCTCAGGCTGTGGTCTACATGCACAGTGAAGCTGATGTTATTTCCCTCGATTCAAAATAAAGCTCCGTGGACAAGTGCTAAGTAAATTAAGTTTTATTTGTATTACTCACCAGTCTAAATATATGAATGTCCTGAGACCTGGTTACCAGATGTGCATTCTTAGCAGTACACGTGGCTGTTTCCAGTTTATCCCCTGTGAGCATCCATACCTAGAATAAAAAAAATTCAATACCTCACATGAATAGAAACAAAGAGCCAGTATAATGCAATGGTTTGCTTTGGACCAGACTCTCTGGAGACTCAGCTTCAAGATCCCACTCAACCACAGAGCTCACTATGTGGATCGCTTTTTCTCAAGTCAGCTTACAAAGCTGATGTTCTGGGAATAAAATTAGAAGAAGCTCATATTTAAACCACATTCAACTCTGAAAGGAAACCAGGTTGCATTAAACGTAGCAAATAAATAATGGTAAATAATAAAAAGGCAGTTAATAAATGTTTAGCTTGTAGGAAAGTTAATATATGTATTGTATTTTAGATATTTAGAAGCCAGTGTGGCGTAGTGGTTAAGACTAGGATCCTGGAGACTCAGGTTTGTCTATTTTCAGCTATGGAAAATGTGACCATAGGGTGGTGGCTTTAGGTCAATGATTCTCTCTCACACCAACCTATCCCACAGAATTATTGTTGTGGGGAAAATATAGAAGAGGCAATACTAAGTATGCTGCCTTTGGGTCCTGGAGGAAAGATATATAAATCTAACAAATCAATCAATCAAATTAGTAAAATGACCATATAAAAATACAAAAATCTCCCTTGAGTCAAGAGACAGATTATTTCCCGTGATTTCATGGACATATCCATCTGTTTTTCTTGGCACTTGGGTGGGAGACCTTTAGAAAACCTGGAGGAGACCCATCCTCCCTGGCATATCATAGTTTTTTTTCAACTATCTAACATGTAGGCACTGTGAAAACAAATGGAAGGAACTTGCACCTTTATACCGAGTAGGTTGTAACTAGAGTCTCTGTCTTCTGGATATGAGAGTTGGACAAACTAGGGACAGATGCAAATCTGAAAGTAAGTCCCATAACAAAAGTATGTAGCCTCTACTACCTCAAGAGCCTCACCGCACTTTGCAAGGTAAGAGCATTGGGTTAGGGACCAGTAGGGTAGAGGGAGTAAGTGGTGAAATACTATCCATAAGGATTTCTCAGCATTAATTAGGTGTAGTCAAGCCAGTCTGGACAGGATTTTAATTAAAATATAACTGAAATCCTGCGCTCAGTCAGAGATTTAGGCATGATAGTCTCAACAGTCTTTTCAAACCCCATGATTCTTTAAAGCTTTATATAAATGCAATTGACAAAAGCAATTTTAGCAATTACATATTTTAAATAAATTACATGGAATTTTTAAGTAACTGTTAAAAAAACCCCTTTTAATATCATACTGGGATCTAAGAGATACATTTCGCAAAAACATGAGTCAACCTTGCCCATTTTTGGAGATGGAAGCTGTAGCTAAGCAAATGGCACCAATAATGCAGTAATGGATGTTCTTGAAAGGCCGCTTTGAACTGCTCCATGTGGCAGCTGTCTCAGTGCAACAAGCTGTTTGTGTGTAGAAGATGCAACCAGAAAGGTCTGTGGTGACATGGAGAAAATTGCCACATCCACATAATGAGTCATTGTAGATCATGAGGAGACAGTAACCATGTGGACAACTTCATAGAGATTTTCACGTAGCAACCAAAATATGTGTGCGAGTCTCTAATTAAACTTTTTAATAGTCAGTGGAATCAAACAGAATTGGCCTGCTTTGCATATTGCACAATGTGATATTGTTGCTGTTGTTGGGAAATACATCTTTCGGAATGGCCACTAGTGATATGGTATATAATCATGTAACCTGCCATAAATTCTACTACACGTTTTGCTTTGTATTGCCAGTTGTAAATTGCAAATTAATCTTTGATGCTTATGATGATTCTATAGTATACTGCAATGTGTTTCAACCTTGGCTGCTTGAAGTATGGACTTCAACTCCCAGAATTCTCCAGCCAACTTAAAAGAGCACTCATGTACCACTTGATGCCAAGTCTTTAAAACAGCTGTGCCTTTTCCTGAGATGTCTAATCTATTATGGGATATGAGACTTCACACTGGGAAGCATTATGATTGATATGGGTAGAAATTGAACACTTTCCATAGGCAAAGCCAAGAGTTTGGGAAGCATTTCTATGTAGCACAAACATGGCCTTGGGTACTTCTCTACATCTTGGATGTTATATCCATTCTCCCATTTTTCACAAAAATTCAGATCTTGCCTTCATGGAAAATTGTAAAATAAGCATAAGCTTCATGCTGCCATTTTTTCCAAAGTTATTCCTTGAGACAGGAATCCAAAGTCCCATGGTTTCAGATAGGCTTTCTATATATCACACATGGCTTCATGTTAGCTAAAAGGAAACACAGTTCAGTACTTTCTTTATACTATATACACAGAGATATTTGTACAAGATAGTTCAGTTTGCTTGGTAATGCTGACAATCATGGCATGCAGCTGAACTACATGTTACTTGGGATGAGACAAGTATCTTAGTTATAAACTGATTTGAAATATTTGCTTTCCTGACATGGGGAAAAGCTAGCTGTGGTGTGATTCCTAAGGCATATTTTTTCCCCCCAACACAACGTTCTGAGTAGATGGACTCCAACTCTCAGTCAGATAAGCAGCAGCACCCAAAGTGGTGGGAAGTCTTTGTAATTCCATCTTTGTCAAATCCCTGCTTTGTGCTGCTTACAAGCAGAATAGAATATAGTTCCTATTTCAGTGGAACATTCTGCTCAGAGAAATTATTTTGTTAATTGAAGGGGAAATGCTGTTCTTCCACCAAAGACTGTAGAAATATCAAACCAGAATTCTGAAATGTGACTCTGTAAACAATGTAGATACTTAACTGATACACGTAGTCCTTGACTTACAACCATAACTGAGATCAGATTATGGTTGAAAATCATGCCATGGTTGTTAAGCCCATTATCTACAATGGGCATTTTTTGTTGGAAACTGGAAATAAATGCTGGTTTCTGATAAAATAGTAAATTGTGATCATGTGACTAGGGGATGCTCTAAACAGCTGAAAATGCAGGCCAGTTTCTTAGTGCCCAAAATACTGCATGTGACCACCATGGTGGGGGATGCTGTCAGAACTTTGAATCCAGTTAGTAAGTACCTTTTTGGGGATCTGTCGTAACATCAAATGATTGCTAAGTGACTGGTCGTAAGTCAAGTACTACCTGTAGTGCTTTATATACTGACAGCATTATTAAAGTGCCTCTAATGATATGAAATGCCACATTCTCCCTCTCATTATAGTTCTCTCATGTTTATTCATCCATATCCTCTCAGATTGGGGGAAAAACAGTAAATCTTACACTTTTGGTTTCAATCATACCTTAATGCCAGCATTTTTCAGAGTTTCCAAAGTCGGTCTGACATCCACCTGTAATTGATCTTCTACTCCAGTCAGACAGAGCAGCTCCATCTCCATCTCCAGACTCTCAATCACGGTGGCTACCTTCAGGGAACGATCGTGGACACTTAATTTTGCTTGGACGTAGCGGGCCTAAGGAAGATCGCAAGAGACGCCCCCCGTTACTACTTGTTCATTCATGAGTAAGGAAAAGCAGGCCAAATTTCCCCAAGAGACAGCAGCAATGCCTCCCACCTCTATTTTTAAAGCAGCCAGATTGCGCTACTCGGTTTTGGCAGCAAAAAGCTAAAATTCAGCAGCATAATTTTTAGTCTCCATTTTTAACCCCCCAAATGTAAAAAAATAAGGTGCATTAAGCCTTCACAGGGCTTAAGGATCTATCTTCTTGTGTTTCTTCAAGTGTCCAACAAAACTAAACAAAATAAAGCATGCCTACAAACACATCAAAATTTTGGATCATTTCCCTACCAAAATGTCACTGTATCCCACCATGCCCCCTGGTGGCTCAGAGGAGGCAGAGAAGATGAAATAAAATGCAGCTCCAGCTGGGGAAAAAGTATCTGCCTCATTTAAAAAAAACTGGGCAATTACTATTTTTTAAAAAAACTAGGTGTGGAAGCAAATATATTCCTTCACTTGTAATTGCCAACACATTTATAGGGTAGGGAAGAGGAGGAAAAGAGCAGGAAACATATGGGTTGGGTAACTTTTGTATGTGTCTATATATATATATTCCCCTCCCTCCTAAAGCCAGATGGGAAGAGACTGGCCCACATTACAAGAATCTTTATCAGTGAGAAGAACATGGCAGACTGGTGAGTCAACTGGCTGCCATCCACAAGTTTGATGTGGCCCTTAAGTTGCCAGCTGGCTGGCACTGATACACTAGGAGCACATCCATGAGCAACCCTCATGTCATAAGTCATTTTTATGTTAGCCTTTGTCCTTCAACATCCTGGAATAAATAATATAGTATCATCAAAGGTGGTGGAGCAGAAGACAATACAATATATCCTTTCCCAACCAGCTGCCCTCCGTCCTTTCCCCTTGACATGCCAGCTTGGACCGATAATCTAGATTGGGATGGGATGGGATGGGATGGGATGGAGTAGAGTAGAGTAGAGTAGAGTAGAGTAGAGTAGAGTAGAGTAGAGTAGAGTAGAGTAGAGTAGAGTAGAGTAGAGTAGAATAGAATTCTTTATTGGCCAAGTGTGATTGGACACACAAGAAATTTGACTCCAGTGCATAAACTCTCAGTTTACATACAAACAACAAAGTAAAATAATCATAAGATACCAATAGGAAAAGGTAGTAGAAAAGATGAAAAGGATAACAGTGATACAGCCACACTACATGAGTAAATATCATTTAATCTTCTTATGAAACATTCATGCCTCCTGTTTGGCCTATATCCTTGATATATGTGTTATAGAAGTATTTTGTACAGCTCACTTAACCAGACCAGTTTAAGATTTAGGGGCTGCATTTGCACAGCATGCCTAGATTGACTATTAACTTTGCTTAAGTATTTTGGTGGTTTAGTGTGTAGTGCAAATCCAGACCACTGGATTAGTTTATACATATCATGTGTACTTAGAATATAGCTTAATTTAGTAACCAAATTAAGCATATTGTGTCAATGTAAACTATCTTAGCTATTCTATCCTTGATGCCTTCCATGTAGATGAACTTTCTCCCAGAATTCTTGGCAATGGCTATTTTGGTAGGGGAATTATGGGAGATAAAGCCTCAGTTCTGGAGGGCATCAAATATAGAAAAGCTTACTTACATTTTCCAAGATAAGAAACAGTTTATGGGATTGGAATCGTAAAACAGACATCCAATAAAAATAATAAGATAAGATAAGTGGTATATATTCTATCCAACCAATTCACTCATCCATTTTCCAAAAGTTTCAGGAAGTTGCCAATGCATGATGGATGATGGCCAATTCCATCTTTGCCAAGAAAAGGGAACAACAAATACAATAGTTTACAGTTTAACCTATTTAAAAAGCACTTCCCTGCTTATTTCAGCGGTAAATGAGATATTCATGTTAACCTTTTTTAAATAGGTTAACTGTAAACAACTTTATTTCATGTTTAATTTGCTTACCTCAAAATCTTGATATTGCTCCTCCGACAGGGATTTCTTTGCTACTACAAGAACTCTCAATCCTTCTCTCGCCATGTTACCACACTATAAAGGAATATACACATTTTAATAAGCTAATTGCCACTGGAAATAAATATTACCTTAATAATTGTCCCTGTTCTCTTCAGTCAGAGAGCAGATTTCAAAATTCCAAAATTATGGAATTGCACCATAAAATTAATATTATAATTTTGTTGACCAGGTGGTAAAATTGTAATTGAAGTTTTAAAAGCCACCTCCAAAATAATGATTACAGTTTTATATCAAGAATTAGCAAGCTTTCCAACCTGAAAATCTTGCAAGACTTTGGCTATTTCACCCTAAAATGTTATTTGATTTTTGATGAGAATGCTGAACTAAGGTGAAATCACAAATGAGATATGGATTTTTTTAATGTAAAAACTTGGTTGACCTCACTAGAATTTCATGTGATTTAGCAATCTTCTAAAACAGTGGTGGCGAACCTATGGCACGGGTGCCGGAGGCGGCACTCAGAGCCCTTTCTGTGGGCACGTGCGCCATTGCCCCAGTCCTAGGCCTTCAGCTGGGTTTTATAAAACCTTTTCGCTTTAGGCCTCCGCTGCCATGTGCAAAAAAGGTTCAATCAGTCAATTTCAACTTTTCACTGGGAAAAAAAGAAGGTCTTGCAAAGTTGGAATTGATTGATTGAACTTTTTAGTCCCACCCAATCTGCCGTTACCACTGCAGCCACGCCCACCCAATGGGCCACACCCAGCCAATGGGCACGCCCACCCGGCACTCGACGATGCATAAATGGGTTTTGGGTTGCAGTTTGGGCACTCAGTCTCTAAAAGGTTTGCCATCACTGTTCTAAAATTTCAGCAAAAAAAAATTAAATTAATTTTGGAGAATAATCAGACTATTACCAGACACACTGGAGCCCATGTTTTACATAGTGTTTCAGTTTTAGGTTTCTCCCATGCAGGGTCATGCAAAATAGTTTTTTTCATTTTTTTGCTGGGACAAATAAATGATGGAGATTTCCAAACATTTCAGATTTTGCATGGAGTTATTAATGCATAGGTAAGTTGCCAAAGACCATTCTAAGACCACTATGTTTATGCATAGTGGTAATATGCACACATATATGTTGAATCTGCATATATATTGCAAGTTGCATGCAATATATCTGCAGAATCAACATATATGTATTCATATTGCCAGTATGCACACTCACTGCCCTACTTTTACCCTTCTTTCCCAATATCTATAAGCATAGCATACTCCTCTCCTCTCGTTTCTTTTCCTTTCCTTTCCTCAGTTTTCAGGTGGTCTCTTCCTGACTTCAAATGATTTGACTACTATTCCTACTACCTTACAGTGGCCAGGTAGGCTAATGATGGAAGTTGTAGTACAACAGACAGGAAAGTTGCCACGTTAGGAAATGCTGAGTTCTATCATCAGGGGCATTCAAAGCATTCTCTGAGTTCAGTCAGGAATTCTTGCCCTAAGGAGGATCTCATACTCGCAAATGTAAAATAAGTCACAGCACTGAGACTGCTGTTCTGTACCTCTTCCTCTAGCCAGTCATTGTACTGAACAATGCCTGCCATAACCACATCCGCCCCTTTCATGTAGAATGTTATTTCTCCTGTAGATTCATCCTGAAAGAGACAGAAAACAGGGAAGAGGAAAAAAATGAGATGACAAAGGGGAAAAAAATCCCAGGCGCCCTACTTTAGTACAGATACTAAAGATACAGATATCTATTCATAAAATATGTAGTGCATCTATTGAATGTCATTGTGTGTTATCCTAAAGATGCCTAACTTAAAGAACCATTAATCAACAAAGGGAAAAACTGCTGTCTCCAAAGAATATAAGGTAGCACAATTCAGAAGAAAAAAAATATATAACAAGTAAAACATGGCTTTAAAAGGGTCAGAGCACCAAAGAAAAGTCCTGTGTTATTGCAAAAATAACATCACAGAATCTCAACAAGCAAAAGTTGGAAGAATGTATAACACTTTTCTACTATGAACTGCTGTCTTCTACCCTCCCCAATTTGCACAGTGTGTAGGAGTCAGTTTACTACAGGAAGTTAGAATAACAGAATAACAGTTGGAAGAGACATTGGAGTTCAACCCCCTGCTCAAGCAGGAGACCCTATATACCATTCCAGACAAGTGGTTGTCTAGTTTCTTCTTAAAAGCTTCCAGTGGTGGAGTATCTACAAGTGCTTCAGGGAAACCATTCCACTGGTTAATTGTTCTCACTGTTAGGAAACTTCTCCTTAGTTCTAGGTTGCTTCTCTCTTTGATTAGTTTCCATCCATTGGTTCTTGTCTTGCCTTCTGGTACTTTGAAAAATAAGTTGATTCCCTCTTCTTTGTGGCAGCCCCTCAAATATTGGAACACTGCTATCATGTCACCCCTTTTCACTAGACTAGACAAACCCATTTTAGCATCCAGACCCCTAATCATCATTCTTGGTCTTTTCTGCACTCTTTCCAGAGTCTCTACATCTTTTATATGACATGCTGACTAAGTCTCTTTTATAAAAAGACCATTGAACCATCATTTTATTTTTTTAAAAGATGGGACATTGGGGAAAGGATCGGATTCTTCCCTGCCCCCAAAGTATATAATGATCCTTCTTTTGATCAACTCATTATTCTTATGCAACCAATTTTTTTTAAAAAAATAAAAATAGGTGGGCGTATGTCATTTATGTACTATCTTATTTGCTCATTATCTACATCTATTTGATCTAGGTATTATCATTTGCTAAGGTGTGTTTAGCCAGAAAAACAGTTAATTAAATTGCAACAGTATTTGTAATGCTGTCATATATAGAGGATGAAATAAATTTTCTGTTTCTCCAGAGTATGTCCTGTAGTAACAGGTTAAGATGGCAGGACATAGGATTTGTTCTAAATGTTGGAATTTTCTGTTTGTTTAAAGTGTTTGGCAATAGAACAGATAGTTTTGGAATTAGAAAAGTTTTTATTGAAGATTATTGAAAATTAGCAGTTGTGTGGCCAGTTATGAAGAATGGTATAACTATGAACTTTTAAAATCATTGGAAGTGGATGAGATAGCTTCTGAACTCCTTTCCCATTCAGTGCTTCTAACACTAATAATCAAAGTAATAAACCTGTTCATGTCCAGTAATAATTTATACTTGAAGCAAGTACTCCAGTGACTGGATGTTCCACCATAAAACAAACTCCAAACTCTCCACATATAAAATTAGCATATCAAGGAAATCAATTCCACCCTAGCCATTTCCTTGACCTGTTAATTTTCTATGTGTCTGAACAAAATAAGCAGAATTTTATGATGTAAGTTCCATCAAGAAAAGAGAATGGGTTGATTTTCTCATCTTCTGTTTCTGTTCTATTTAACGACAGGTGTTACTGGCTGAAATCCCAGGCTGAGGTCAGGTTCCCACTGTTCTGCATGGGAAAAGGTCACTGCTTTTTCCTCATTCCAACCATTCTCTTGCTTAGGATAAAACATTTCACTAATTCATGATTAACTAATTCACACACATATACATTATCTTTTTTTAAAAAAAATCCATTTGAAATCAGTGAGCATTAAATTACAGGATTAAAACTGTAATCCTATACTCACCTATCTGGAATTAAGTATACTAAATTCAAAGGGAATATTAAGAGAGAGATTTATTAGTTGGTCTATAAATAAGGAATATGTATTTGTGTACAGTCCAGATCTGTAGGTTCAGATTCTGAGCACAAGTTCCACAGCAGGACGGATCTTATTTTTTTTTGCTCACCAAATGACTTTCATCCACTAACATATTTTTCTTCTAAAATCTTTGGGATTCCCCCAGAGCTGTTGTGGAGCAGTGATTAAGATGTTAGATAAGAACTGAAGACCAGATTCAAGTCCATCCTCATCCATAGAAGCTGATTGTCAGTCAGCCAGATGAAAGTTAACAGTGAAGTTAACAGAAAAGACTTGATGCAAATCCAAGAAGATTATAGTTAAGAAGGAGTTCATCTCAATAACGCAAAAAGAGTGAAAAGAGGATAACCAGCCAGAAAAGTTCTGGAAACCCCTAAAAGGCTATAGAACAGTGATGGCGAACCTTTTAGAGACTGAGTGCCCAAACTGCAACCCAAAACTCACTCATTTATTGCTGGGTGCCAGGTGGGCGTGGCCCACTGGATAGGCGTGGCTGTGGTGGTCATGGCAGACTGGGAGGGTGTGGCCAAGGTGGGCATGGTCACCTTGATGTTGCTCGTGGGGAGGGATGCCTGTGGGGCACGGGCAGGGCTGGGGGAGATCCAGGGGGTCTCTGGCAGGTGGGGCAGTAGGTAGGAGGCTCATCCTGTGGGCTGAGGCGAGGCAAGGTGAGGCAGGGTGGGGGTGCGATTGTCGCAGGGCAAGGTGAGGCAGGGGCCGGGGCGGCTGCTGCCTGACACCATCGGCACAGAGGCCAGTGAGCGCATGGGTGCTGGGATGCATCCGGCCATGTGGGACCTCGGCAAGTTAGCGGGCAGCTGGTTGAAGAGGAATGGTTGCCATCTCTGGGGCATGGCATGCGTGCCCACAGAGAGGGCTCTGAGTGCCACCTCTGGCACGTGTGCCATAGGTTCGCCACCACTGCTATAGAAGTTAGAATGGGACAAAGTGCCACTAATCTGATTTTTACAACCTCATAAACCTCTGCTCACAATTAACTATTAAGAAAACAAAGGAGGCACAAAGTGTAAGTTTTCAGACTTAATCAAAAGCCCAAAAAAATCTCCTCCTGTCTAAATCAAGGAAGGGAAAAAAGAGAATCCTGGTTACGATCAAGTGTCTGATAGGATCCATCTACTTTGCATTATTGCCCTTCCACTGGACCTCTTATTTCCACCCCCAAAAAATGGTAGGTGCGGACCCCAGATTCTCTTTGTCTGTTGGAAAGAAGAGAAATTAAATTTGGCACTGAGACTTGGGCTTGCAGAAATGCCTTCAGTACTGATGGGCGTGGTTGATCTCTCAAGCCGATGTGGTTTAACACTGAGACCAAATACAAAATTTCTCTCCTCCATAGATACTGTAGAGTAGGCCTATTAAAGACCCAGAATGATTTCCTTCATCAGATGAAGAAAGATTAAAGGGACTTCCCTCCCTTTTCCTGCCTGATTTTTAAATTTTTTTTTAAACATTTATATGAACTTGATCAACAATCTTCTTTAGCACTTGATCTTATTTATACCAGTGGCTTTTTATGTATGGCACATTATTGTCATCTTTCACAAAAGGACATATGACAATGGCATCATGTGGCAATACAAACTTCCAATTTCAAATCCAAGGGTGCCAGGGGAAAAAACACCTGAAAAAAAAACACCTTAAAATATTTCCATCACAAATTAAGATCAATGTTTGTGCATTATACGTTTAAACGGTTGAGATATGTTTTAATAACTTTTTGATAGGAAACTAACAAGAAAGTCCACTTCCTGCAGCGCAGAACTAGTTTTAAGAGCGTTTAGATCTTTTGTCCAATATAAATATCGTATCAACTATCTCCTTGCATTAGTCATTTCCTCTCACCAAGTTCAGTAGGAGGTTAGCACATTCCCATGATATGGCAAGATTACAAGTATAAATCTGCAGAAAGATTTGCCAGTTGTATTGTTTCTCAACCACATCTTTTTCCACCATAGTCTGATTCTGGGCCAAGGTTCAAAGGCCTTTCCCTCCTCCCCCAACTCCCACTTGACACATGACAATAGCAGTTTCTGGGTTGCAAAAAACCCCATTCTCCATTCCAACTGCTCAGAAGAAGAGAGACTGGAAAGTTTTTGTGGTTGAACAAACAGCTGCCTCCCTACCAATAAGAGGTAGCAACAGTCTTATTTGCCTGGCTTGTTGGCTATACACAGGATCCCTGGAATCAGATACTATGAAAATAGACAAATCTTTAACATTCCCCTCTTAAGAAGACACCACAAAACTCAGGGAAAGGGAGATTGCTAATTGTTTTACCATTTGCAAGGCAGCTAGAGAATCTAGAAAAGATATTTGGCCTTTTTTTTTTTTTAACTCAGCCACAAAGTTTATAAGTAAAACAAACATGATCCAACATCTCACTACTAACTGTTTTTGGAGGTGAGACTTGCCCATCCTTCCCTCTTTCTGTTTCTCCATATCAAATACATCAACGTGTTATCTTTCTGCATTTTCATCCTCTTAAACAAAAATATCCCAATTTATGCCCGCCTCTGTAAGAAATATGCTGTAGTTATTACTTGGATAATAGGAATATAACTGTAGGAAAACAAAGATTTAGAAATATCAGCCTCTCTGGACATTTTCTATAAATTGGGAACTTGTGACAGAAAGAAATTCAACAGGTATTTTCCCCACTGCTGGAAGACGCAATGAGAATTGATTAACTTGGAAAGAATTCTAATCAAATTCAAGAGGATGGAGTTAAAAGGTAGATCAGATTCTAGAAAATTTGCAGCACTTTTGGAGATAAATTCTTGACTTCTAATTGATCAACAAGAACAGCAGTTTTAACCTGAGGAAATGAAAGCAGCTTGAAAAAACAGGCAGATATTTTTTTTGTATGGAATGACTATGAGTTCCATTCTGTTCAAAACATTTAGTATTAAGATTCCAGAGGAGTGTTATAGCTATTATTCCCAACCATTCCCATTATGCAGACCACAATTCCATCAACAGTTTGTGAAGAGCACCATATAAACCAGGGATTAGCGAAAGGATCCTCTACATATTATGGCACATGTAACACACATGGCCATATGCTAATCCTAAACTTTAAAAAAAGAAGAGATATGAATTTACACGTAATTACATATTTTGCACCAGGCTCTGCTTTATAAAATATCCTAATAAAGAAATAGTAACAATACATCTGGAGCACCACTTGAATATCACTGGCATTGACAAAATCTCCATCAGTCAATTGCAGAAGGCAACTTTACTTGAAACAGTTTACATCCTGAGACAATATCTTTAATACCATCAAACAATAACTGCCTATCCTTGCGTTTGCGCAAAAATGGAAGAGCAAAGAAACTCCCACAGAGGAAGAGACACTATATAAAATATTACAATGTGCGGAAATGGACAGGCTCACAATGGTATTGAAAGACAAATGTAGATCAGTTTATTTCGAAACCTGGGAAATTTTTTACCGCTAGAAGGATTCGAGGGGGACAGTTGGGATTATAGGCTAGTGTTAAGATAGAAATATATGTAATTTTAGAATAAGTATTGTATATAAAATTTGGATGTATATTCAGAGATGAAGAACTGATTGTAAAATGTGGAATAAGAATGTATATACTGGAATGTCACGTTATATCCAATGTTTTTTTAATTGTATTATAAATAAAATTTTGTAAAACAAAATAATCAATAACTGCCTATCCCAGATTCTTGGGATGGACTTGATAGGTGGATAAAAATGCCAAATTGAGTCTAAATATTTGGTTGACTGTACAACCAACCAACCAACCATAATAATAAAAGCCTCAAATCTTATCCCAGTTTATAGAGAACATTTTTCCTCACATGCTTATTCATCTTACCCGAACAATAATCCCCATTCGTTTACTTTCATAGGTGAAGGGGAAAATCTGGAGGATGGTATAGTTTAGAATGTGGCCGCCAGGAGTCCTCAGCTGCACAGAAGCCTGGTCCCTTCCAACCAGTGTCAAGCCAACACTTTCTGTCCATTGCACCAGGGCCACCTAAGCACAAGAGAAGTCACAGGTCAGATAGACTGCTGAGCTAGTGAGTTCAGAGGTCAAGCGAATGCAACAGGAGGGAGGAGGGAAACAGGCAAAGTGAAGAACAAAGTGATTTGATTGTTAACTGTACCATTTCCGCTCCTGGATTCCTCAGCGTCTCTTGTGGCTAGAAGTGCCTTTCTAATTTGATAACACCTGGGACTAGCAGGCGTGGTTTGTATAGCTGGGGCTGGAATATGACGGCAATTGAGAGAACAACCTGTCCAGTAGGCTGAAGTTCCCAGTCTTGCTCTCCTTTCATCCCACCCTTCTAGAACAGTGTTTCTCAACCTTGGCCACCTCAAGACGTGTGAAGCCAACCATGCTGGCTGGGGAATTCTGGGAGTTGAAGTCCACAGATCTTGAAGTGGTTGAGAAATACTGCTCAAGAATCTCAAAGGTAAATGACTGAGCAACTTCAGCACCCTGAATGTTACACTGAAATAAGAATAAAATAATAATGAATTAGCTTTTCTCCCAGTGCTTTCCATTAGTTACATACAATCTCTTGAAGGTTAAATCATTTTTGTCTGGATAATTTTTAAAAAGTTCTTAATGCATGTTTCTTAACTACCAATATTTTTTTTTTGCTGCCCACCTTTTTTTTTTTAAAAAAAAAATTGCTCTTTTCCCCCACAATGAAGAAAGGAAAATACCCTTCCTCATCGTCAGGCAGTGGCTTGGTTACTCAACCATGTTGCTAGGGCAAGAGAAAATATAGAAAATATTTAGAAAATATCAATTTATGAATACAGGGATAGTTGAGGGTGAGGATCAACTTATCTTTCACTGTAAATTAACTAACTAACATGCCCAAATATTTCCTCTGCATCTCTTTGCCCAAATATCATCTAATAAGAAATGGAATAGAAGATTAATTACAGAATATACTCCCAGCAATGAAGGATCCTAGGCTGCAGCCATTATTACCTTCCCATATAGCAAACTTTTCTTGATTCTTGAGTTTTAGCGATGTTATTTGACATACAGGTAGTCCCTGACTTACAAACATTTGTTTAGTGACCATTTGAAGTCATAATGGCACTGAAAAGCAAGCAAAATCAATGGGGAAGCCAGATTCACTTAACAACCATGTTACTAACTTAACAACTGCAGTGATTCACTTCACAACTGTGACAAGAAAGGTCGTAAAATGGGTCAAAACTCACTTAACAACATCTGGCTTAGTAATGGAAACTTGGAACTTGAGGACTACCTGTATGCAAATTGCACATAGGAGCTGCAACCCAAAAAAATGCAGCATGGATTGCTTTTTCCGTAGGGCTCTCTGTTTTCAAGATGCTTAATCCCAGTTCATTGACTTCTACTCTCCCTTTTCTCCCCCACCCTTTTTAGTCAACATTTTTCCACTAGTGAGAGCATAGTTCTCATTGGACTGATCTGGGGGTGGGGGAATGTCTCACCTTTTAAGAACTTGGGCACATTTAAGAATTTCCCTTGATGGTGTCTGTCAATTGTATTGCTTTGGCTACCTACCTATATTCAAAATATGAGTTTGCTATGAGTAACATGACAGTCATCATGGGTGTGTGATGCTGAGTAAGGAAGAACCTAACAAAATGATTATTTGAGGAAGAGGAGAGTAACTTCTCAAATAAAGGACTTTTATGCAAGAAAAAGGGATAAGCCAAAAATCCAGTCCTTGAGGTCACATGGTTTGGGTTGACCAATCTCTCTCACCTTTTGTCCTCAGACTGAAAAAAAGGGATGTGCTACTTTGCAAGACTGGTGTGAGGTTTAATGTGATTATGTTACATTTATATATGTTATTCCAGGCATCAAGTGAAGTGTTGTTAAAATGCTATTCTTAGCTGGTGAATCTAGATATAATAAAAGGGAAAGGCACATGGCTTTTAGGAATGGGATAGCCAACGAACAATCTGGCATTGGTTTGTGTAAACCACAGCTGCATTAAAACCAAAACTGCCTCTCTGAAGTTTCTTGCTTGTTTACTTCTCATTTAATCTGTGCACCTCTAAGCAAGATCTCTTAAGAATATAAAAGATCTCCAATGATCCTTTATAAGGGCAATTAGCAATAGCACTTATACATAAATACCGCTTCATAATACTTTACAGCCCCCTCTAAGCAGTTTACAGAGTCACTATATTTCCCCCAAGAATCTAGGTCCTCATTTTACCGACCTTGGAAGGATGGAAGGCTGAGTCAACCTTCAAGCTGGTCAAGATCCTAGGATTACCACAGGAGCAGTGATAAGTTTTGGAGCTGAATGGCCATGGCCTAGTTTTATTTTGCTCTGATGTTTCACCTGATGTTGTGGCTGGCATCTTGAGAGGTATACAGAGAGGTTCACCACAAAGCAACACACACTGCCTCTGAAGGTGCCAACCACAGCTTCCGGTGAAACAACAGAACAAAAGCAAACTAGATCACGGCTGTTCATCCCAAAAGCTCATCACTTCTTGGTTGGTGCCAGCCATAAAATTCTATATCAGTACATAAAACAGTGGTCCTGCTATAGCCCACTAGTTATTGGCTAGTGTTCCTATAAATTTCTAGCAATTGAACACTCCTTGCTCATGAACTCATGTGAATTTATTGGCCAACAAGGCTATTGATTAATGTCGCTTCACACCAACAGATATATATATATATATATATTTCCCCCATAGTTCAAAGTCTCATTTGGATGGCAGGATCCCTGTGAACAGCTGCTTGTAATGTAGTTGATCGGCACATTTTTTTCACATTCTAGGAAGCGGTGAGGTGTTTTGGCGGTTGAAGGTCACTTGGTCAAGTCTTCTCCTGGGCAAGTTATCTGATCAGATTCTACCTCTTACATTTCCCCTCGGTTACTGTAAGGCCTCAATCAGACAGAATGACGGACCCCCAGAGGCAGTAACTGATCTCTCTATAAAGAAGCTTTCAGGAGCCTTGGCCCAGGAATGTACATCGGAAACAAATGTAGGAAGCCTGCTTTGTGTTTCAGGAAATGAATGCTGTGCCAACTGGTAGAAATTATCCCTTCTGTTAAAATAAAGGGGGGGGGTAGGGAGATGGACCTTCAAGGTTTTGTTCGAATTTCAACATTAACTGATCTTCCTGCCTTAACAATATTTTATTACTATAGAGTTCCAAAGGTAGATTTTTTAGAAGTCCGTTAAAACAACATTTCACTGATTTCCTAGAGGGTATGGCTTAGCAATATCAAAATTCAGAAAATTAACCTAGCTTTTTTCCTTTTTTTAAAAAAAGAAGGAAGGCAGCTGTTTAGGGAGTAAAGACAATGGGAAGACTTATATTGCCAATATCCTTAAAAAAATTATATTCCAAGAGAGGATTTTATCATGAAAGATTTAGCTTTTAAAACAAAATAAAATTCTGTTATATTTGCTTGTGAGAGTCAGTTGGAGTAGTGGTTAAGGCATTAGGTTAAAAACAGGGAGACTGTGAGTTCTAGTTCCTCCTTGGACACAAAGCTGGCTGGGTGATCTGGGGCCACTAATTTTTTCTCAGCCCTAGAAAGGCACTTTTGAAAAATCTTGTCCAGGCAGTTTCTGAGAACTAGACACAATTGAATGGAAATAAAAAAAAAACTGTAGGGTTTGAGAAATCTTATTTATATAAAATAATTACATTGCCATGGATAAATTCCAAGCTTTAATGTCATGTGAAATTTAACAGCTATGCTTACATTATCCCCCAGAATGCCATTAACCATATTTGGAAAACAAAAGGAAAAAACAGGCATATTAAAAAGACATAAAAAGACAATAACATTCTTTTGAGGACCATTTTACCTCATCAGGACTAGCAGCTTGGTACACCCTGCAAGAATCTTCATAATGCTTCTCAGCTTCAGCCTGATCTGTCACACCATTCGATTCATAGACAGGAGTCACATTGTGGCAGAGAGCAATTGCTTTCACTGCCTCATGGACACGGCTGCTCAGGGTTTTTCGTACTTTGGTAGCCAGGTTGGGTGGTTTTAAAGCAGGTGGTTCCTGTGACTGCTAGAAGAGAGGAGAAAATGGGTTGATTGAAATTAACATCCTACAATTAATACCCTCCTTATGAATCTGGGTATTTTGAAGATCAAATCGAACTACGGAGAAACTTCCTGACAGTTAGAACAATTAACCAGTGGAACAACCTGCCTCCAGAAGTGGTGAATGCTCCAACACTGGAAGTTTTTAAGAATAGACTGGACAGCCATTTGTCTGAAATGTATAGGGTTTCCTGCCAGAACAGGGGGTTGGACTAGATGACCTCCAAGATCCCTTCCAACATTATTATTATTATTATTATTATTATTATTATTATTATTATTATTATTATTATTATCATTATCATTATCATTATCATTATCATTATCATTATTATTATTATTATTATTATTACTATGGATCATCGCACAGTCAGCCAGATGTTCAGACTGGATTTGGCATTTTGTCTACCTATCGAGTCCTTACCCAGGACCTGGGATAGGCAGATGTGGATGTTTTATTATTATTATTATTATTATTATTATTATTATTACTATTATTATTACTACTACTACTACTACTATTATTATTATTATTATTATTATTATTATTATTATTATTATTATTATTATTATTCGGACGATAAAGATACATTGTAGGACAAAAAAAGTATCTTAGTAACCCTAAGATATTTTGACCATAGTAATCAATGGATTCAATAGGGAAACAACTTCACTGGAATTGAGAGCTGGGGAGATACTATGAATTTGCAAATGTCAGCTTCAAGAATCAAAGTTACAAACAAGTAACCAGTCCTCATTCAGAGTAGCCTCTGTGAATTACTTTATTTCCAGAAGAGAAAGTTCATTAAACCAAAGAAAGCAACATGGCTGTGATAAATCTTGACTAAAATCCAATTATTTAATACATATTAATATGTAATATTTGTGGCCCAGGAAAGATTGGAGTCTAAATAGAAGTGAAAGTTCTGTTGATAGTACAACATAACTGCAGTATAAAAATATGCATCAGAGTTCTCAATCAAAGCACAAATGAATAGGCTCAAATTATCCTACTTCAGACCCATTATATGAAGATCTGGTTCCCTAGAGAAGCTGGAAGAGGTAGAAGGAAAGAGAAGAAGAGGACAACCAGAAACAAGATGGATGGACTCAAAGTGGCAATAAGTCCACCATTGGAAGACCTGAAAGACCAGGTTAGGAACAGATTGTGATGGAGAAAATCTGTGTCATTGTTGAGAGTTGACAATGACTTGATGGCATATAATCAAATCTTAGATAGGAATCAATAAAAGGGAAAGACAAATAGTGGACAAAAGAGAGGCATTTGATGGAATGTGATTGTGATATCATTACAGGAAGTATACCCATGCATTGAAAGACAATTAATTCAGGAAATAGAGGCTGAGATGGTTTCAAACTGGGTACCATCACGGGCTTGCTAGAAAAGGTGTTATAAGTGATCACAAGAGAGGTATCTTCAAGGCTGGACATTTGTGTGTAAACATGAGAAAGAAGATCTCAGAACTCGGGGCAATAGAAACTTTATCACTCCAGAAAAAAGCAGTGACCCTTGGATTTAATGGAGGGTCTTGCAGAATTTGTGATGTATTCTCTTGACTCTAAGCTTAAACCTTTGAACTCTGTCCAGCATATTATTTCTTTTCTCACTGAAGAATCTCTTCTCTTCAGAAGTGAGAGCTTCAGTTTTGGCCTTGGTTTCCTGATTCATGATCTAAGCCAGGTATATTTTCAAAATGTTATTGTTGTTGATGCAGTGCTTTCTTTATATTAAGCTATTATTGTTTAACCATTGCTGGATGGCTCAGCCAAAGAGACATGAGTTACTTCCTTCTTGTTAGGAGGTGATGATTAGTGTCTTGTAAGGAATAAAATTATGCTGTCACCATGGAAAGTCTACAGGACCAAAAGATCAATACATCGTAAGTCTGTATAATTCTGACTAAGTGGATCCACCGTTCAATAAAGTAAATAGGAGTTTAAGTTAAAGTAGTATTCTTTGTGATAAGGAAAATCCATGTTGGGATCTATCTACACAGAAAAGTAACAGTCAGAATGGATCCTTACTATTACTAATAATAAAGTTGGAAGGGACCTTGGAGGTCATCTAGTCCAACCCCCTGCTCAGGCAGGAAACCCTATACCAGGGGCAGGCAACCTTGGCTCTTTTATGACTCGTGGACTTCAACTCCCAGAATTCCTGAGCCAGCAGGGCTGGCTCAGGAATTCTGGGAGTTGAAGTCCACGAGTCATAAAAGAGCCAAGGTTGCCTACCCCTGCCCTATACCATTTCAGACAAATGGCTGTCCAGTCTCTTCTTAAAAACTTCCAGTGTTGGAGCATTCACAACTTCTGGAAGCAGGTTATTCCACTGATTAATTGTTCTGACTGTGAGGAAATTTCTCCTTAGTTCTAGGCTGCTTCTCTCTTTGGTTAGTTTCCGTCCATTGCTTCTTGTCCTGCCTTCAGGCGCTTTGGAGAATAGCTTACTCTCTCTTCTTTGTATCAGCCCCTGAGATATTGGAACACTGCTATCATGTCACCCCTCATCCTTCTCTTCATTAAACTAGACATACCAATTCCAGCAACAGTTCCTTATATGTTTTAGCCTCCAGTCCCCTGATCATCTTTGTTGCTCTTCTCTGCACTCTTTCTAGAATCTCAACATCTTTTTTACATGGTGGTGACTAAAACTGGATGCAGTATTCCAAGTGTGGCCTTACCAAGGCATTGTAAAGTGGTATTAACACTTCACGTGATCTTGATTATATCCCTCTGTTAATGCCAACACAGCATTGTGTTGGCTTTTTTGGCAGCTGCAGCACACTGCTGGCTCATATTTAAGTGATTGTCCACTAGGACTCCGAGATCCCTCTCACAGTTACTACTATTGAGCAAGGTACCACCTATATTATACTTGTGCCTTTGGTTTTTCTTGCCTAAATGTAGAACCTTACCTTTTTTCACCATTGAATTTCATTTTGTTAGATAGAGCCCTATGTTCAAGTCTGTCAAGAGCCTTCTGTATCTTAAGCCTATATTCTGGAGTGTTGGTTATTCCTGCCAGCTTGGTGTCAGCTGCAAATTTGATGAGTTCCCCATCTATCGCCTCATCCAAATCATTGAGGAAGATGTTGAAGAGCACTAAACACTAGTGATAATGCAAAGCAGTTGGAGGTCCAGACACAGTATAAGCTTCTTGCCAGTGCCTGACTCCAGATTCCTGAAGGCAACCAAGAGGAGTGCATAACTTATAGGGGTTCAGAAGGAGTAATGCTTTGGAAGACCCCAACTGATCATCCCTAAGTGAAGACATGATGATTAGCAGAAGCATAAGAGGCAGCTTCTAATCACTCTCAACAGTCAAAGGTAGCACTTGCAATGTGTGTTGTGTAGGTGTGCGCGCACAGGGGAGGATGTTCTGCTGCAGCTATACAATCTTGGAAACAGACACAACTGCTCTAACAAGTCATCAACAAATGCTGCATCAATATTCTTGTGTTCTGTAGCACCACTTCCAAATTAAATGTTGCAGAGTATCAGTCAGGATTGCCATCTCTGGTAATTGCATTATTTTCAACTGGGACAGAAAGAAGATTTATTCATCTTGGATTCTACTTTCTACTGAAAAATAAATCATTACCACCTCAGGCAAAAAACATGCTCTCATTTCCCCAAGTAATCTGAAGAACATACAGAGTAACAATAGCAACCACAATTGGTAAACAAAAGACAAGATATGGGCAAAAGGTCCCATTACCCTAAACACATTGTTTTTATATGGGGAATCCCAGAACTGAGAAATCATCTTACAGGAGAGATGGTTGGGGATAAGGAATGAATGAATGAATGAATGAATGAATGAATGAATGAATCAGGATTTGTATATTTGTCTATCCTGGGAATGGCACATATCTTTCAAATCCAGTAAAAAATTGGAACTGGGGGAAGGGGCTTGTGCATTTGGTGATTGGACCAGAAATGATTGAATACAAATGAGTGGCTGAGACAGAACAGTTAGGGAGCCATGCCTAATCTTACTGCCAATGATAGAATTTATTATATGGGGAATGTTTGGTGAAATAAATTGTCCTCTCCAACATCAAAGAACCACCCTATTGGATAATATTATAGTGAAGGAAGCAGAAGAGTTGGCAATGTTATAGCACTGCAGTAAAGAAATCTCAGGGAGAGGTGGAAAATAAAAATAACACTTCTCTCAAATAACTCCTTGTAGAATTACTTGTTACTGTTAATTACTGCTACTGTTATGGTGGGGGGGGGGAGACTAAGACATAGTAGGAGCTCTCATCAATTGTTCTCCCATCTCAAGATTATTCTAAAGAGCAGATCCTATAATTCTCAGAAATCTAGATCAACCAAGTACCCCTAAGGACATGCTTCAGTTGGAAATTTGTTAACAATAACACAACTAACATAATTATCATGTCCTATGAATTTCAGCAATCAAAATTTAGAGGGGAGGGGAAAAACCTTTCCTTGTTGCCAATTTTATAGAAGGGGGTGTCGGCTGCTAATCAATGTACAATGTACATCTATGTGTCTTGGCCACACCAGACACATGACCATCACACAGCATGACCAGTCAGTTATGTGACAACTGATCATATAAGACCCATAAAAGCAGAAGAGAACTGAAACAAGACACTTCAACTGAAGTTTCCCTGATGATGTTACCTAGCCTGGAGAGAAAACGTTTGGAAACTAAACAAGCTTGGAGAACAAACCACCACCAACATCTATGTGTAGTTCCTGGTCTATCTGTTGCATGCCTCAATTTTGACAAACAACAACAACAAAAACTAGGACAACTGTACAGGAATGTTATTCACTGATCAAGAGAGGACAGATTACTTTTCTCTGGTCACATTAAGCTCCATAAAAATATAAATTTACAGGAAAAAAACTTAGCAAAAGATGTTTAATGAAATGCATAGGACATGGTATTATAAAGACAGAAAAGAAAAAAACAATTGGGCAGTGTGAAGATAGAAAGTTTTAATTTTTATTACTGTTTTCAGAGTCTGCATCAAACCTTCCAGGTAATTTCACAATTACTAAATTATGCTGGTCGCAGGGGAATATATAACCATTGAGTTTCCTGTTCTGTTAACCTCTTATGTCAAGAGGACAAAAGTTTCACTTCCAGGTCAAAGGGCATAGCATGGTACCAATAATTAGAGCAATGAATCAGAACTACAGTTTAAATGAATCATAGCCACCAAATGCTTCCAATTACCAGAGATTCTAACCTTTCAATTACATTTAAGCTTGCATTCATTGAGAAAATCCCTTACCACTGTTAGCTGCTTCTTTCATCTTATTAAATGAAACTATATTAATTAAAATTGATCTTGGCTACAGGTTGGAGCCAGGAAATAGAACATTGATCTGCAGATCCACTTTTCCTGCTTCCAGTTAACTTGTGATGGGGACAAATTATCTAAGGGGCAGTCTATTTAAGGGTCCCTGACTGTGTATACAGAACCTGGATTAATATCATTTACACATACAATGTCATTGTCAGATTATGTTGAGGTCAGTAACTTTTTCAGGGGGTTGCATGGGCACCCTCCAGCAGCTGAAATCTCACAAATTTTGTAAAATGTTGGACATCTATTTTTGTTAGTTTAAGTTTGGAGTTTCCAAGATGTTTTTGTGGTATTGCTGCAGGTGTGCCAACCTCTGGGTTGTGCTAAAGGCAGGTTCTGTGGTGGAGAAGAAGGAGGGCAAGAACAGGTGATCTTGTTCCCCCCTTGAAGCAAATTTCTTATAAAAAGAGCTTTAAAATTTCCACTTAAATAAAAAGCTTTTTGTGCCCCCAATTATATGCCTCCTATTACTCCGGTTTGTGGAAAGAAGATATATAAAACCAAAGCTAGTGTTAAGTGTTATTTGTTTCCCCTCTTCTACATCTATTTAAAAACAGGAGCTAAAATGTCTCTAGCCAGAAAAGATAAATCTCCTGTTTCTGTCTTTCTTGGAGCAAGTAATAAATAACATAATGATTTTTTTAGACATTCAGCTAAATGGGTTAATTTCATTATTTCTCTAGTATTAAATTTCTGTTATTACAAGAATGCATGCAGCATTCTATTGCCTATCTATTAAAGAGTCAGTTTGTCTAGTGCTTAAGGCACCAGGCTAGAAACCAGGCAACTGAGTTCTAGTCCTATCTTGGGCCAGTTCTTTTCTCTCAATCCTGGGAAGGAGTTTGTTTGTTTGTTTGTTTGTTTAACTTATATAATGGAAAACCACTTCCAAAAAACTCTGCCAATAAAACTGCTGAACCTGTCAAAACTGATTTGGAGTCAGAACTGATCTGAAGGCACAAAATAGAAAGCCCTATTATAAGACACTGTGCAATCATTCCAATTTTTTTCCTCCTCAACAGATTTTCTGTAGAAATGAAAACTGGGAAAAGCAGTATGGAGAGAAAACCAGGAATGGGTTTTACAAATAAACGAAATGTTAAGTCAGTTTCAAAACAGTGTGCCATATAGCACTGAATGCTGTGTTTAACAAATGTTGGTTTTTCAAGGTTTATTTATAGTGGTATATGTCATGAATGGGAGACTCATGGCCCTCCAGGGGTGGCTGGAACCTCTGGCTTAGCTGCGTTTTTCTATCTTTCATACAGAAAAAGTATGAAAACATCATGTCCTGATGCTGGAACCATGGTTGAGCAACATCTTTTAATCCCATCATTCCTTATCTCTGATATAGTCTCATAATTTTGCTTATCTTACCTGTGTATATATGCTAAAGATATGGCTTTGAACTTCATCTATAGAGTCAAACCCATAAGCCATTGTTCCAAGATGGACACGTTTGAAAACCATCTCGTTCTGTGTTAGAGTCCCTAGAATAGGAACAAAATTACATATTATGGCACAGAAAGAGCAAATTAAACACCAAGAAACATTTCTAATGTTAACCTGAAGACCATACATTGCCAAGAAAAGCATCCTCAGAGATGTAAAGTTATTGTTACAGAATTGTAAACTTTAAAATTAAAAAAATCGGGAAATCATTAAATACACTGAAGAAAGTATTAGCCATTTTTAAAGTATTAAATATAAATAGAATTAAATTTGCCTTTTCTGCTTTACCAAGCCACTACTTTTTAAAGCGCAGTGCCCAGCATACCATTCAAAACTGAAAGGTGGGCTTTGGGCCAGAAAGTATTATCAAGTTGTTATGTATCTCTTATTCATTTGTACATTCAGAAAAATGCACTAAGATCTTTCACAACACAACAAAATAATTGCAGCAGATCCTGATTTTGTGTCCTGCAAAAAATTATATATGAAAATACCTGTCTTATCAGTAAGCAAATAGGATATTCTGCCTAGTTGCTCTGGGATTGTGCTAGATCGAACTACTGTGCCAGGAATTTTAGAATCCCTCCGGATCATCCAGCTGTAGACAATTTTTCCCATGTCAAGATTCACCCGTAAACTACATAAAAGGAAGAGAGGGTGAGGAAGAAGCAACAATTGGTTGGTATTAGGAATTTACTTAAAAACATGCCTTAAAAATTGGTAGGAAGAATATTTGAAGAGGTTTGGTCCCCTGCAATTTATCCCAATTCGGCTCCATCTAGATATGTGAGATTGCAACTATCAATGGACAATACCAGAATGAAAATTAGATAAGGATCTGAACCAGATGCTGCTTTCCTACATGGGATTTATAGAAACACATTCTCTTGTTTCTAAAGCTACAGACAGGTGAGCAGTGTTCCCCCAGATGACATTTGTAACCCAGTACTTAGGATCATATCAAATAAAAATGGCTTCAATGTAAAATGTGGCCTGAAACAGTCATTTGAACTCTGGCCATTATTAGCAAACTATGTAATGAAATAGGGAGTATGATGTAATCCAATTCAAAACTCATAGTTAAGCTACATGATATATGGGAAATTCATGAACTAGATCTCTAGCTGTTTTCAAACATAATGCCAAGTGGGTTTTATGTTTGTTGAATAAGCCATAGCAATCTGGCTCACCATTGTACTAAGCTCAAAGTAAACCAAGTTATCATTGGCATCCACTAGTGATATCACTATGCAAACTCTTCTGTATGCTGTGACACAAGTATAAATGGACAGAGTTTGCATCATGATTCATTTTCTGTAATCCGGTGTCAAAATGATGAAGAATGGATGACTATGCATATTATGGCTTAGTATGAAGAATGGATTCAGTCTTAAAAAAAAAATACAACAGTTCAGCATAGGGAGGAAATTTAGAGTGTCCCACATAGAGAGTTGTCACATGTTTTCTATGTTTAATATTTATACTTCCTATATTTAAAATGCTCCTTATCAATATGACCTACATCAAGCCAAAAGTTCTAAGTGAATTTCTTAAAAATAAGCTCCCAACTGCAGCTGGGAAATCAAAGTACTCCAAACGCTAATGAACTATATCATTCAACCAAGACAGTCAGCATAGGCAATGATAAGACTGGTGGGAGTGTTAGCTGAGTAACATCCTGAGGGTCCCAAGTTCCTCAGTCCTGCTCTAAATATTCACAGCTCTACAGGCCTTTTTCAGGCTGCAAACTATAATTTATATAGATGAATTATACACATAAATAAGTCAATTCTTGCAATGCTGCTCCTGCCACTCTATGTAAACATAGGAAGTTTATTATTCACTTGTTGTTACACACAGATTTGGAACTGTGATATATTTAAAGCACAGGATCTGGCTTGTTCCTAATGAGGAATGAAAGACTGATACTTCCTACCTTCATGTCCTAAGAGGTTGCATAATCCTAAGACTCAATAACCCCATTCAGGTAGAATTCACCATGGCCTGAAACTATAAAACCTATCAATAATTACATCATGCAAGAAATTCTAATATGCTTGCTTTAGCCTTTGAGGAAGCACTTTTCACTAAGAGTAGTTATGCAAAAAGCAACTAGGCTTATGTTAAGGATATGGAGTAAATCATTTAAGGAAGTTTGACTAAGGCTCAAATGAAGAAGAATATCAAAAATATGGCACTATTTTAAAGGAGTATAATAAATACATTTATACCTGATAGGAATGATATTTGAGAACAGAAGAAGAAATCTGAGGATCTGAAGGTACCAGCGGCCAGCAAAGTGTTGGAGGGAGACCATGACAAGGGAGACCACCACCAAGGCCGTAAAGAGTATCTTGGTTAGACAGTTAACTTCCAAGTCAAAAAGACCAATCTTAAAAAAAGAAAATGATTATTTGCATTAACAATTATTGCAATTAGAGCAGGTATCAAACCAAAATATGATCACACACTACTCTAGATTTTTTTTTTTAAAGGCATGGCACATCTTCCCCTAGTCTTGTGTCTTCCATGTGGTTCAGATTTTTAAAACAGGACATTTGGGATCATCAGCAGTTGACTTCCAATAAAAAATAGGAGGAGATCTTGCATTGGCCAGGAATTGAACCTCTAAAGTTTTGTCAAATTTTACATGCTACAATTCTACTCGGAGGGCATCATATAAGGCAAGTTTGATTCAGATTATCAATATTCTTCCAGGTAGGGGGTTCAGAAGGTCAGGTAAATTTATAAGTTGGTATTATTGTTCTTGTTCATGGCTCCCTTTTTTATTTTTGTGGTGCACTGTTATTTCTATAACTATATTGATGTTTTTACCTCTGTATATCAATATCCTGTATATTTATATTTGTAACACTATGCTGTACTCAGATTTTTTTTTACTTCAATAAGTTGTCCTCTGACTGTGATAAATATAAATTAAGGTAACCCCTTCTCACCGACACTGTTTTCTGTGTGCAGAAAATACAGTTGATATTGATATGGACAACTAAGAAGCTGGTTTCTGTAATTCTCCTGTGGGAACCAACTGACATGAAGTCACTGTCTGAGAATTCATATATTACCTTTTTCATTTATATGCACACCTGAGTGACACATGTGAGATGTGTGACAGATATGATCAGGCATCTAAAATGGACTATACAACTTTGCATATTTACCCACAAACCTAGCTTTATAGACCAACCAAAAGAGATGAGATTAGGTTGTAAGCAGCTCAGAGTCACCTGTGTGCGATTTGGGTGCCATATATATTTGTTTAATAAATAAATAATTAATAAATGAGGAAATTATTTCTCTTACCTTACTGCGTGGGTTTGAGGTATTCATGACACTGCGTAGTTCCTGGCCTGTATAGAGAACAACTCCCACAACTGTTCCTGAAGATTAAAGCAGAAACACCATTCATACACTCTATTCCTATAAATTATTACATGATTATTTTTCTCACATATATAGTACACTAGAACAACCTTTTTCAAATGGTGCTGATGGTCACTTATCAGGGATGATTCAGTGCAATCGTGTACGCTGACCAAGTACTTGAACCAGATCACCAGTTCATACATTCTATGAAAATGTCAGTGGGGTGGACTGTATATCATGAACACTTAAGCTGTGTTTTTCCTTTTGCAAGATATCTGATTCACAAAATTCAATAATGTTGACTAATGTTTTTGGCAAGAATATAACAATGCCAAAGAATAAACATTATTCTAGACTGTGATATGTGTGCTTTGGTTTTCAGGCCAATATCTTTCAATTTGAAACCTTCCAGTTATGCTGGACTACAGTGCCAATCTCTCCAAGCCTATGTTGATTATGATGTCTGGGGCTGATGGAAAGTGCAATTTAAAATATCTTAAGTATGCCAGATTGGTGAAAGATGGTCTGGATATTTGGGCAAAGTTCAACACAACAGAAAAGTGCCACCAAGGAACCTAGGATGATCATTTACACTGGTAATCGATTTATTCATGAGTTTAATTAATTTATAAACAGGTCTTAACCAATACAATTTACATACATATGCCCAATAATGTTAGAATACTGATGGAGCTCAAAAATTAAACAAAAAAAACATACATTCTGTTGTTAAAATCAGCAATCTTTTTTGGGGGGTAAACAATGATGTTTAGAGACTAGGACATGAAAACTGTTAGTGTCAAGAGAAAAAGTACACAGCTGAGACCTAAACTAAACAAGATATAATTTTAATTTAAAATACAGCTAAGAACAGGTATCATGATTAATCCGAATAATATAAATTATGGTTACCTTCTTTGAGATTAAACATTCAGTGGCATCTTACACTACATAAACCTTTTGGGAGAATTTAAGAATTTTTACTCCAGTAAATTATGTTTTTTAAAACTCCACGCATACACTATAATAATCAAACCCAAAAAACATACATATATAGAAGTTGTCATCCCTCAATCTGTTGTCTTCATATCTGTCAAACAGGCAGCTTTCAGAAATCACAGCCAATTGTTATGCTGGCTGAAAATTTTGGTAGCCGCAAGGACAACATATCAGAGGGTGGCAAATTTCAAGGGAGCTTCAGCAAAGAATGCAGGCAACACATGGCACAAAAGTTGTCTGATTAAATCACAGAACAAACTAATCAAAGAAACGATTCTGGCACTACCCAATTCATTCTTTTGGTCTCCTCTCTTTTGAGGGTTCTGCCTTTGACATGCCTCTGATTCAGCTAAGTACCTTGAACTTCCCTCCCTGAAGCTGCACATCCATGCCTTAAATGTTCAACATGATGGAAAGCTTATATAGAAAGAGGTGGGTATATTTAGCCATCTCAGGGGAGTGACAGTTGAATTGTTTCTTGAAATACGCTTCAGAGAAAAGCCTTTGATTTCTTCTAACTACAGCCTGATACATCTGCTCTTTTATCAGATGTTCTCCTTTGGAGTCACAAATGGGGAACCCCATTTATTTGCAGATCTTTTATCCCAGCTTCCCTTTAAAAATCCCCCTGTCACCCTTTCTGTAACAGATTTAAAATGTCAATATAGGGAGCAATTAAGTGCTATTCTAGCAGTGGATGCTTTCTCCAAAGGTTATTTATTGAAATTCCAAAGGCCTTCTCATCTATAAATGTCCAAAGGGGTAATTAGATGTCAACTCAAACTCCTGGTGGTGTTAGCACAAGTGGAAAACTTCATTCCAACCCCTAATTTCCATTGACAAGAGATGATTATTTTCAATTACAAAGAGAGATTTTTTTTAAAAAAAAATTGCTAACATACTCCCTGAGAAATTCACACATTAGGCCTTACCTGAAGCAATTACTGTGCTAGCCCAGAGGGTATTTTCAATACTCAAGCTCTCATTCACAGGAGGGTCACTGTCTTCCTGAAAGAGTCGAGGAAAAAATAAAAATAATTAAGAGTCTTGTGCATTTTTTTAAAAAAAAAGGTTCACGCACCATTTCTAGAATCTCATAAATGGTCAGAGATGTTTAAATTTCTCAGCACTTCAGTCTTCAGATGCCGAAAGACCTCAGTGTTCTTTCTCTGTCACCACAGGTGCGAAGCCAATGTTAGAATGGGATATATATCCAGACATTCAGTGATGCAGGCTGCAAGAAGCAACTGTTGAACTGCAGCTCCCGATAACAGGACACCCTGACATATTATGGTGATGTACGCTCAATAGCCTGCAGATTACATCATAGATTATCATTCAAATCTAAAAGGTTCAGGAATTGTTGTGTGGTTGTCTGTAGCTGTTTCTGAGCAACTCATTTTAAATAAGTCAAGCAAGAAAGGCAAACAGTGATATTAGCTTGAACCTGAAGATAGTTTATTCCAGTTATAAAAGATAAGTTTGCACTAGGAATCAGGGGTAGGCAACCTTGGCTCTTTTATGACTCGTGGACTTCAACTCCCAGAATTCCTGAGCCAGCCATGCCAAGGCTGCCTACCCCTGCACTAGGTAAACCAACAATCTTAACTCCACGGTTCACACATTATATTAAGAACCCTTTTGTCTATGGAGATTCTCAACCATCCAGGTCATGGTTGTTTCAAAGGTGCTTTTCAAAAGGCAACTGGACTTTCTTTCTTTTTTTTTCCCTTGAAAAAGTTTTGCTTCTCAAACTGAAACTTCTTCAGTTCTGGCTGAAAGAACTGATTCATTCAGAATGAAGAAGTTTTTTGGATGAGAAGGAAATGTCTTCAAGGGGGAAAAAAACACAAGAAAGTCCACTTGCCTTTTGAAAAGCACCTATGGGATAAAAATCCTTTTATGATTCAGGGCAAATAATTCATTGAAATCTGTCCTCTTCCTTCCAGCCTTTCTCTCCCCTCAACCATCCAAAATTACATATCATTTTTGTCAATTGAAATTAATAAACCGAAGTGTTTAGGAAAACTCAAACTGCTAAAATAACTGTCAGGATGGTACATAATTCTACTGCCTTGAATCAAAACTAGTGATCGACCTGGGCACTTTAAATATCAAAGCATTTTTTGAATTGAACAAACCCTTATATGTCTCCCTTTTAAATATCCTTCTGTAAACCATGGTTTGTTTTAAGTAGTAGAATAAGTTACAATGGCTGGGTTCCCAAATAATATTAAAGTAACACATCAAGCTTTTGATTTACCAAGATGTTCCCCATAATGATCTAATTCTACTGATGTACTGACCACTATGGCTTGTTAATAAGCTTAGTTAAGACAAGCAATGGTTTGGCACCTAAACCATTTCCCATCTTTATATTGATTAGAAAATTGGACATACGGTAATATTTGACGATATGCTGTTTAGAAAAAAAATCAGTGCCAATTCTATTATTACCTCTTACAAGATTGTAGTACAAGACCAAACTATACTTTATGCCATTTGTCTCCAATCATTTTTGGTAAGATTAATTACAAATATCTATGGAATGATATAATTTTTATCTTAAAAGCTGTGTACTCTCCGGGTATAAAAATTGCACTCTCCAAAACAACTTGGAGCTTTATGAAATACTTCATTAGTGGCCAACTTGACTGTTTTTCCTTAAGCTTCAAGCTACAATGCTTGGGACAGACCTGGGAGATTATGTGGTAAATGTTCTCTTTGTCAAAAAACAAAATCCCTCCTTATGAAAAGATAATTCATCCAACACATAACCCAAATGAAGCTCATTACAGAAAGCATTACCTTGGTCTAAAATCTACAGGGAACATATAGAACATCTCCAAATATTGTTTTATAAGCCTTTAAGCCTCTCCTGACGTTTCTAAGAGACAATTTTACTTTTTTCTTTTGTTAAGCAACAAAGTCAGTGCTTACTCTTGTGAATGTCCCAACAAAGTTATGGATGTCAATGTTTGGCTCCTCTGCATACACATATGACCTGATCTGAAGAAGGTCCTACAAAGGAAGAGGAGAACTTGAAGACAGAAAAGGGGCAAAATTCATCATAATGACATTTAAAAGAAAAAAAACACACAAAAAGCTCCCCTACAGCTCCCCTATAGAAACAAGAGACCCAAGATTTCATTCAGCACATAGCCTACAAATTGGTGTGAAAAGCAAATATATCAGTGGGAGATTTGTTTTTAATGGCACGTTAGGTTGTATAATTAAAACAATGTTTCTGTTACGTACAGAAGCAGTAGGTAACCTCTGAGTACAGCTGACAGGCAGACGCAGTTTCCAATCTGTTTCACCATCCAGCTGATCCGTTCGGAGAAAGCAGGACCCTATAGAAATATTCATCTGAGTTAATGAGATTTTTCCCCCATGCTATATATAGGAAATATAAATATCATCATTTAAAGCAAATGCTTTATGGAAAAGTTTAGCCTACATGGTACAGTAGGGGAAGAATCGTAACTCAGTGATCAGAGATGTGTTTTACCTATAATTAATTGATCTGAGAGACTCCCCTTAAAAAAATAGCAAACAGCACACTGAGAAAAAATTAGAATAGCCAATAGAGTAGATCTGCCTTCCTCAATGTGGTCCCTTCCTTGCATGTTGGACTTCATGTAAAGTGGTGGTGAAGATCTCATCACTTTCATGTCAGAAAGGACAACATCCATGTAGTAGACTCTAAGTACTGATACTTTGCACAAATCAGAAATACCTCTGTAGATAAGTTGCAAATAGAGGTTTTACCATTTACTTTTATACATTCTTTTTTGGGGGGGGGGCTAATATTAAGATAAATAATAACCCTATAACTCCAGTGTTGAGAGCAGCTCCATTTGTGCTTCCAAACCATCTTTTGATGTGGGTCACAGTTTTTGTATGACCTATAAACAATCTGACTGTGACCACCATGACTATAATATGATTGCACTTGAGTCAACAGTGCTACTGGCAGCTGTTCCCTTGATAAATATTATCACACCCAGGCAGGATCCCACTGTCTTCACTTTCCGAAGTAGTTTTCAAATTGTGCTTTTCTTTCCCCACAGTTCAATTTAGGTAGAAGTAAATAAATATAATGAAGAAGCCTCAGAATTGCTGATTGCATAAACACAAAGCCTTGGTAGTCTAGAGTTTGCCAGCTGCCTGAACAAATGGCTAGACATCTCAGAAGAGAAGTTAATATGAAGCTCAGTGAAGCCCAAGCTACCGCCAGCATGCCACATCAATCTCTCTTTCCTTCACACTGCTTGACCTTACACAACAGGACGTCCTGCAAGATAAACAAGCTCTATGTTTTTTTTTTTTTAAAATCACCAATTATAAAATAAAAAGGAAGCCTGAGCTATTGAAAATGAGTGTTTGAGTTGGTCAGACTCACCAAGTCTAAAATGGTATCTGCTTAGGTTACATGTTCAAAATGATTATTATGTCCCCTATAACTGGCAAAAGGTTAATGGTTATTTTCACAATGGGTTCCAGATGTTTACCGTTTTTTTCTGATGTCCTCAAGAAAATCATGTCAGCAGGGACCCGTTGGTTCTTCATTGGGAAAAGAAAGGCAGTCAGTGAATATTGGGTCCATAATTTTGACCGGAAATAGAACATACAACTAAGAAGGTGCATTTTTTTCATTCATTCAATTTCTATAGCTGCCCATCTCAATCAATGACTCGGGCAGAACAATTATTAAGTGAAGGAGCTCACTGCGATAGGCCAATTATTGTGTATTATATAGAGATTGTATGATTCCATCCAAACTAAATTCACAGAGCTGTGTTACACAAGCGATTATATAACTTCAAAATCCAGTGTCAGTCTCTTCTAGGTCACCCATAATAGAAAGAGACAATTTAGAAAAATGAAATTTAAATGGTATAGGGACTTCTGCTGGAGCAGGAGGTTGGACTAGATGACCTCCAAGGTCCCTTCCAACTCTGTTATTCTGTTATTTATTATTTAAGTGATATAGAAATAAAGAGAATATTTTACCATTATAGTATATCCATTTATTCTTACATCAAAATGGTTATTACATTAGATATTTTTATACAATCACCATTCCATGAAAGTAAAAGTATAAAATTTAAATAATTAAATCCTGAATGATTGCCAAAGACCAAAAAAAGAGCAAGCTCTTAAGACCAGTGAAGTAGAGATAGATGAATTTTCTAAAAATCAAACCTGAATACTGAACTGAAGTGTGATACTAGCAAGATTTCAGGCTTTTGCTAAAGCGAAACAGATTTTGGAGACTTCATAGCCTATGGGGTCTTGACAGCTGCCCTGAACCACTTCCATTTAAGATGATAATATAAGCAGGAACTACTGCTTTGAAAACATGTGTCTGAGCAGTTATCCAGCAAAGAAAGAAAAAAATCCTTGTCTTTTGAAAATAGCTAATCTGGGGACGTTTCCTTCCATTGCAATGGTTCTGCTGCCCCCAAATGTCCTTATCAGGGAGGTAGTTTTCCCTTTACTGTTACATCTGTTTTCAGGGCAACTACCTTTTTTCTCATCCATGTAAGCCAATGGAACTTGCTGTGTCTCTATTAATTTGCACAGAAAAAAGGAAGATTGCCAGTGAAGACGTTCCCTTCAACCTGCCAAGAAGTCTAATGATAACAGAATGCTGCTCTTTGTGGAGAAGGTCTTCCTGCCAAATTCATCTTTGTAGTATGACGTTCTCTCCTCCTAATTCTTCTCTACCTTGAAAGTGGCTCCAGTAATATCCTCAGAAAGTTTCCTTTTGCATTAATGTCAGCACCAGCATTTCTGAAAAGGGAAAAACACCTAAAGGGGTTTGAAAACCAAACCAGGCTTTCAACCTTCGGTCCAAAGCTGATCAAATAATGGAACTTCCTACCTGAAAATCTAATGAACTTCTAAACAAGCATTAAGGCTATAAGATATGGGTGGTAAATCCAGTTGATTACAATAGACCAGCAAAGGGCTGGAAGTATATAAAGCACTGTGCTGTCATGTACTGGTCATCTAGATGTTTGCAGTCTCCGTCTAGTAGCTCTAGCAATATATTTTACTTTGCATACAATTATGAAGCAGCCTTCTCAATTTGGTGCCCATCAGATTTGTTGGCTTAAAATTCTGGTTATTGAATAAACATATCAAAAGGCATGAAATGGAAGAAACCTGCTGTTCAATGTGCTTTAACTATTAATTGCTACACCATCAAAACTGACACCTTCCAGAGCACAGAATAACTCAAAGAAGTAGTACACGATTGGCAGATATGGAGAGATTTGGCCCACAGAATCACCAAGAGTCAGACACAACTGAATGGATATCATTAACATCATCATCATCTGCTAAATGCTGATTCCTCTGTTAGTGTTATAAGAGTGCTGAGGAAAATATTCCCATTTTTTAAATCCAGTCATACCTTTTCCACAATGATAAGATCCCCGACTTGAATATTAGAACTTTTCACCTTCACTGTCCCTGAAGACAAAACAAATACTGCTTTAAAATTCTTCAAAAGTATGTATAATTCTTCACAAGACATTCACTGAGCATTCTCAGTGACAACCCTCCCGCATACAATTCAGAGGGAATTATTTGGCATCTTTCCATGGCTGGTATAATCCTTGATGCTAAAAACTCAACAAGTATTAGCAAAGAACAATACCTCATTTTTAAAACACTGTAGAGTAGTTTTATGCAGCTATGAACAGTACAAATGACCTGCATGCCTTTAAATTTGAAGCAGAAAGCCAAAGCAAAAGATCAACAAAATGTAGACACAAATTAAAAATAGTCTCCCCACTCTTCCAAGAAACATTTGGCTTTTAGGAGACCTTACACATCATGACTTGCAAAACAGAGCACAAAAGGTTTGAGAAAATATTGTTTTTTGATACAGCTGGTAAACGCCAATGATCTATATCAAAGCAGTGCTCTCTTGGTAGGGGGTCTCTTTGCATTTCATAGAATATTTTTTTTTTAAAAAAATGCTGATCTGGTTTACTATGCTTTGTGTTCATGAATTGTAGAGAGAGGAAAGCAAGAAAACAAAAGTCTTAAAACAAAAGCCTAGAAAAGATATCAAATCCAGCATTTGCAAATTTAAGGACAAAACTGGGCCAAAAGATACATATTCAACGAACTTGCATCTGATAAATATAGAATTATCTTTTCCTCCCCCCAAAATATATTTTCAGTATCCCAGAAAGCAAATGCAATTTTAAAAAATAGCAAATGTGAATGTCCACTATGAAATTTAAAAGTACAAACAGATTCAAAGTTTTTCACAGCAAAGATTATTTTTGCCTTGTTATTTTCTCTTCTCAGTTCTTAGCAAAGAAAGAGAAGGAAAGCCTGTTTTAATTAAGAGTGCCTTTTCATATGCATATTTTGTTATCCCCTTTCCATTTATTACCTTTGTCTACATTGCTTTACATATGGATGCCTGCCTCCCCATTGTATCCTCCAAACAAATAAAGATAAAAAGATAATGGGTAGCTTCACAATAAGCATATTCATCCATGATTTGTTGACTAATTATTATACACTATTGACATACATGCTGGCTGATGAACCACACTATTAGGGCTCACACTACCTGTAGTTTGAGCCCTAATATTATTGTTTACTGTTTACAGTAATATTTACTTAATATTTGAATATCTGAAACCAGTTAACAAGTGAATTCATATATCACACTGTACCATAATTATGTTTATGGTTATAATTAGTGTTTAGTTGCTCAATTCCAGTTGTAAGAGTTTGTACAAGAAAGTAAGCCATGAACCATAATTTATGATTCACATACTGAATTAAACCATAATGACATTTGTTTAGGGAATTTCTGCTTCCAAAAACTTAGCAACTTAAATTTCAGGCTGCTAAATCATGGCCTATCATTATGTGCAAATGGCAGCATATATTTTTTTTATTTACCAGATCTTCAAATAATTACAAATTTTATATATGTTATAAATTTGCCTTGTAAAAAAATAATCATTAGCAGGAAGGTTTTGTTAGAGCAAAGCACTCTTTCAACAGGACACTACAAAGTTCTGCTTTGGCCCAAGTCACCAAAGGGACAATTAAAAGTTCTGTCCATATATTTGACATCTTCCCCTTCACCAGTCAACCCCTTCTTCTCAAAATTGCTGTTTTGATTATCATTATCTTTTGACAGAGTTGCAAACAGACAGAAAGCTGGAGCCAATTTCCTGACCTCTTGCTGTGAGCTTGCTGTAAATCTGAGAATTCACTTCCCTATCACGCATGTAGCATCGGATCTCTTCCACAGCCTCACGGATGATGGTAACAGCAAGCACAAAGCCCTAAAGAGGCAGAAAGAGAAATGGTGGAGGATTAGTCAAACAAAAGAGATTAAATCCAAATAACTTATCTGGAGACCTGGGAAGTTAGTGGATGATCACAACATAGAGTCAGAAATGTTCAGTTAAAATTTCTATTTCAGAAGAAACCATTTCAGAAGAAATGGATTTTCTTTTCAGAAGAGACTAACATTTTATGATGTTATATAATGTTATATAATATGATAAAAAAGCATATGATGT